GTTTGCGGCGGCACTACTTGAATGCTTCGATGCCGAAGATTTTGGACTGTCGGGTTCCACAACGTAGACGACATTGCTCACAGAGTAAGCAGCCGAGGCCGCGATAGTCTCAGCGAGTTTCATGGAATTAATTAATCAATTATGATCCGAGAATGAAAATTTTTTCATGAAAAGAAAAAAAGGAGAATTTTTTTTTCTGGTTTTTTTTTTTTTTTTTTTTTTCGCCGTTTATTTATTTTTATTTTCCGATCTACGCATTTATTCAACCTTGCTGACAAATAAAAATTCACTTGATACCGAAAAAGTTTTAACTTTGATTAAATCACCTTTTTAACCAAATCACAGTGTTTTAATGACTTTTTTTCTAGTTAAAATTATTAATTGTACGTACATACGTATATGGGTTAAGAGAATATGACACATCTACAATTTCAGCATTTTATATTTGGGTCAATGTAGTCAATCAATTGCGGAGTAAGTTTATCAGTTATCGAGTAAATAAATAGATCATTCATTCAGAAAGGCCTCATTGATTATTTTTCAACTCTAACTGGTTATAGCGCAAAAAAAAAACAAAACTGGAAAGACCCATATACGTGTGTACGTCGAGTTGTGATAAGCTAATTGCATTACGTTACACAACTCTCATTATCGGGATACTATCTAAAAAAAGTAGAATTATAATTATCACTCTACTCGATACTCGAGACAACCTTTTAGATTTTCGAACAGCAACGCACTTTCTCGTATATAATTTGTTGGAAAGTGTACATATTCACATATATGCATACTTGTGATTAAGTAAGCTCCCGAGAGATTTGTCGCTAATCTTTGTATGTATAAGTGTGTATTGACTAAAGTCGCTCTTTAATTAATTAGATTCCGTGAGAAACCGAACCGAGATGTCAAACCAGTCCGGCGGAACCCAAGCCGAAAACTGTCCGTTATGCGCCAACGAACAACCTTTTGCGTCTCTCTGGTTTCAGGAGAACACCGAGACATGGATAAAGTGCGATATCTGTCTCGTATGGTGTCACACCACCTGTCTCAAACTTCCCGCCGAAGAGTGCGACCGAATCGATGAATACCATTGTCCCCAGTGCGCAAAGATTTATGGACCGAGTACCTGTACGTACGCAAATTTAAGTAAAAATGGTGACCTCGATTTTCATTCACCAATCAAAATTCTTTATAGAAAAAAAATCGACAAAACGAATTCTTCTTTTTTTTTTTTTTATGTAATCATGTTATTTAAGGTTAAGACTTAAGCGACACACGCGTACATGCATATCACTGCTCTAGATTAACCAAATTTGTCTTTTTATAAATGTGTCATATAAAGATAAAGTGCGAAAATCTCTTCGTGAACACTCTCGAGTCAATTACGCGGATCTTGATAACGGAATAACCGGCAACCCTTACAAGTGGAAACGGGTGCTCGATTCAAAGCATTTTGTCAGGCACAAATTTCAGAAGGTTTGTGGCGAACTCTTAACTTTGGATTGGATTCGTCGGAATGGTTTTGATGAGCCAATTATTATCGAGAAACCTGATGGACTTGGTATGAAGATGCCCTCGAAAGATGTTACGGTCAGTTGTATTGCGGAGGCCGTCGGTAGGTCATTTATCCTTCTTTAAATCACGAGCACAATTAATTCCTTTTCTCAATCGCAC